TAGCAGCTCCATGTAGCTACTAATTTTTAAACTACCAATAAAGATACGAGCAAGGCCTCACCTTAATACTAAAAAAATAAAAAATAAAAATAGTCAACAAGCCAAAATTCTTTATTCAAATGGCTTCATTTTTATCTGATTCTACAGAAATTACAGCCTTTAAAAATTTAACTAGAAGACCTCCAAAAGAGGTATGAGATTATATTTAGAAAGTAGCATCTAAAGACCATGAACACTATATTGCACAATGTAAAAAATATGGTAAATCTTGAATATATGAAAAGCCAAAAAATTTAGAAGACTATTTGGCTACAGAATATATAAAAGTTGACTTTGAAGTTAAACAAAAATTTCTTCATATAGTAGCTACAAGAAATTATACAAAAGAAAGTGATGTTGAAAAGAATACTGAAGAGGATTTTTTAATATTTAAAAAGGCTCGTATTAATGAATCTCAAGAACTTAATAATCAGTTAGAAAATTTTACAAACCTAACTGAAAAAAAACAAGAATATGACAGAGTACTTTTAAAACTTTTTATTTGCTGCAAAATTCCTTTTATAATCATTGAACATCCTTTTTTTTAGAATTTGTAAAATGTTTAAATCAAGCTTATGAACTACCTAAACAAACTCATCTATCAACAATTCTATTAAAAAGTAAAGTTGCAGATATTACTATAAAAATTGAAAATGAGATTGCAAAAGAAAAAAATTTAATACTTGGCAAGTAATTTTTTTTATTTAATAAATTTTTGTATTATCTAAATATAGTAATATTTAATTAATTAAAGTGGATAGGTTGTTAACCCCCAAGTGGCAGGTCTAGAGTTCAAATCTCAGTGACAGTGAAAATTTGCAATTCTTTTTGTATTATGGCTAACTGTCTTCCATGATTGGTTGGGATAGAATACCTGTAACTGGTGTCATGCCAGCCTGACTGGAAGGTCTAGGCATTCATGCAATATTGTATGAAGGAACACAAACTGGTACCGGGTGATGTGAATCCAAGATAAGTCCTTAGGCTGTGTAAATCATAGGAACCAGGTAGAAGAATGGAAGCATATTTGGAAGACCTGAGTAAAGAGGTAACTTTACTTTTGACAGTACTACTGTAAAGACTAGACCTATGAAATAGAGCTAGAACTTGTGAAAAGCTAGCCTTTAAGGAGGGGCTGAATGAAACCAACCAGGCCGCCAGAATTTCTGGGTTCCAGAGAAAAAGATTACATGCTAGCAAAGATGTAAACCAAAAGTGTATAGTTACGACCTGCCTTTCTGAACTATCTGGTTTGGGAGCTTGGTGGAACTTGAATTGAATACCAAAGTAGTAGGGATATGTTGTGAAGTCAGTACCAGG